AAAAACCAAGAGAACTGTCGATGCGTTGAAAAAAGTGTTTATTGTTGATTTGTACGTCAAATTTTATCGTTAGATAATGAGTTTCATGTCTCTAACTATTACGATCACCAAATGCGACAGCTTTAAATGTAAATCGAAGTGATCTGTTTTGCTAAAGAGTAGAAGATTTTTCTCTCGAAATTATTGCATTTTCTTGTTGATCATCAAATTTTACATCAGCGGAATGAGTTTTATGAAAAGATATGCTTCCATAGCTTAATAAAAGGCGATCGAAGTTTCAACTTTGACCTCCGTTTTCACAAAAACTGTCCATCGGATGAACTATTTAATAGCATCAATGGACTTAGTTCTTAGTTCCCTACAAATCCAGCAAGTTTCAACTCTTTACTCAAATTTTCGAGCCTTGTGCAGTACTTTTTGCATTTCATTTATAAGTTTAACCAGAAAATTGGTTTATTTACCAAGAAATGGGTTAAGATGAGTTTCTTTTGTTAAATAAGTTTTTGCCTGTGCATTTACAGCCTAAAATTCATAACCCGAATGTGTTAAAGGAAAGTTGTTAAGTTGGATTGAATTATTAATTAGTTAAGAATCAAATTGGTGCAACAATGATCATTGTAACTGATGCCATTCTCGAAATATCGAGGCTCAAAGTTTTAAGGCCAATGGTCAAAATCAAGAAAACTGGTGTCAAGTTGTTAAACTTATTTAATCCATGATGTGTACCCACAATTTTTGTGGATAAATGTTAAGTTTCATGTCTCTAACTATTACGATCACCGAATGCGACAACTTTAAATGTAAATCGAAGTGATCTGTTTTACAGAAAAAGAAAAGTTATATTTCTTGAAATAAGTAAATTTTATGATTGATCGCCAACATACACATCAGTTGAATGAAGTTTTAAGACAAAATTCGCTTCCCTTATTGCACAAAAAGCAATCGAAGTCTCAACTTTGACCTCGATTTTCTCCAAAAATTTTCATCAGAGGTATTTTTAAATCGCTAAAATAGACTCAGTTCTTATGTCCCTACAAACCAACTAATCTTAACTGTAACTATTATAAATTTGAAAGTCAATTTTTACACGTTTTTACAATTTGTCTCGATTTGTGTCAATTTGTTTATGAATGTGATAATTGGGTCTTTTTTATGAGTAAAAATCTCTATGCATGCTATGATACTATGCTATGTATTACTTATTGCTATTAGAAGTGATGTTAATTGTGGCAGAAAGACGGCAGTGTAAATCGAAGTGATCTGTTTTACAGAAAAAGAAAAGTTATATTTCTTGAAATAAGTAAATTTTATGATTGATCGCCAACATACACATCAGTTGAATGAAGTTTTAAGACAAAATTCGCTTCCCTTATTGCACAAAAAGCAATCGAAGTCTCAACTTTGACCTCGATTTTCTCGAAAAATTTTCATCAGAGGTATTTTTAAATCGCGAAAATAGACTCATTTCTTATGTCCCTACAAATCAACCAATCTTAACTGGCACTAAACTTGAAAGAAATCAATTTTTATCCGTTTTTACCCATTTGTGTCGATTTGTTTATAAAAGTGACAATTGTGTCTTTTCATGAGTAACAACAATAAATAAGACATTCATACATTTAACATGTACTTTTCTTATTAAATCCACTTTGATAACTTCAATCTTGCACTTAAACACAATTAATAACACTTTTATAATTATTACTACAACTAATCATAAAGCTAAATTCATACGTAGCTATTAATATTTATTACACTACATGCATTGGTAAGAAATTGTACAAAGCACAAGTACCATTATTCATTATACTGAATTAAATTAAAAGTAGTTTGGATTAATTTTAATTGTTTTTAATAAGTCTTTAAAATACACAGAGAGGAATTAACTTCACTCAAAAGTAAATGTATCATCAACAAATTGCTTTCTATTCTTCATAATTGGCCCAGTTACCAAAAGGTTATGATTGAGGATAAGGGGACATCAATTGAATTTTCTGGTTTGTTTTTTACGGAGAAATGCTCATCCCATGCTGAGAAAGTCCATATTAGGAAGACCCATTTTTGAAAGATCCATGTCAGAAAGGCCCGCATCAGCATAATCAGCAATTAAATTTGCACCAATTTCGGCAAGAAGACAGAGCAATCGAGCACCTTGATTCAAAGTCTCTCTTAAAGGTGATTTTTTGGGGGCTTGGTCCTTCAAATCTCCAGTGTAACCACCATAGCCATTTTCATATCGACTGAGAAGTATACGTGATGGGCCATAACGATCCGATCCATTTGGCTTGGCAGGACAAGCTGGATACTTCTTTGGACCACCATTTGAATTAGAGGTTGCATTAGCGCTCGAATAACCGTTTGAATTAGCGTTTGCGTTTGCATTTACGTTTGCATTTGCGTTTGAATTTGAGTTTGAGTTGCCGTTTGCGTTTGCGTTGGCATTTGCGTTGGTGTTTGAATTATTATTTGAGTTAGCGTTAGTGTTTGTGTTAGTAACTGTGTTAGTGTTACTGCTTGAATTTTCGTTTGAGTTTGAGCCACCATTTGAATCGGCGTTAATGTTCGAGTTAGCCTTTTGGTTAGCGTTTTGATTGGAGTTTGAATTACCATTTGAAGCAGCATTAGTATTAGCGTTTGAATTTTGGTTTGAAATACCCTTACCATCGGATTCTGATGATGATTTTGATGATTTTGATGATGTTGATGATGACGATGACGATGCTGCTGCAGCTGCTGAGCCATTTTGTGCACTTGCTGCGCTGTCAGCAACTTGACCGTTCCCTTGGATAACTAGACAACTGATGATTAAAGGGAAGACTAAAAATGTAACTTTAAAATTAAACATGATTGCAACAATTAACTATTTGTTTTATTCCACAAAATGATACTTAAAGTGAAGAAGCACAAAATGAAACGACTTTAGATGAAAATTGTTTCTTGAAGCAGAAACTGGGAAACTCTGGAAGACTTCCGATTTTATGCTACAGTTTTTCCACGATTACGTTTCTATTCTGTTCAAATGATTGTTCAGGTGACCATCAAATGCAAATTAACTCAAATGATACATCAATTTATTGTTTTCGAACACAAAATCTACGTAATTTCATCTAAAATCTACATTTAAAACATTAACTGCTATCTTACCGGTTATAGCGATTTAATAAGTGGGAGAGTGAACTCTCATAATACCGAAATATTAAACTGATTGCTATCCATCTCTTTTAATTATATCAAAAATCGCCTATGATTTCAACAGTTGCCAAGAAAAACAAATGTGAAGGAAAATTATGCTAAAAATTAGCATAGAATCAGTTCATTCAGTTCCAAATAAACAATAAATGTCTCTATTCATAGTTGATTGATTGAAATGGCAGCTCAGTGCATGATTGACAATTGGTTTGAATGTTAACACGAGCTGTTTATTTAAAAACATCAAACTCACCAAAAGTAGAAAACAATAGACTTGCGACGTTTTTCTACCATATTGTGACTTACGAGTGACGAGAAGATCATCTGGGTTACTATTTAATGTCCTAATACCTTTATTCAATCTCAATTTGAAAGATGCTTTCTGAAAGCACGATTCTTATTCTCAATGGTCTTATTTCAATGGACAATTTGATATCATCTATCCATTTAAAGCTATCTGAATTTGATCAGGACGAAGCTGTTTTTATTGTTTAGAGCTCAACTCGAATCACAACTTGACATTCATCATGCAAGGACTAAATCATAATTTGTTGAAATTGATCTGCAATTGCTTTGTTCAATCGATATTTAAAATGATACCATTGCTGAAAGCGACAGCTTTGACCGAAAATTGAAGTTAATTGTTGTACAAAAACAGAAAATCTAGTCTCTTTAAATAATTTAATATTTGGTTGCCCACCAAAGTTACATGATAAATTTGGTGAAAAATCGGTTCCATAACTGTACAAAAAGCGATTGAAGTTAAAAATATTATTAATAAATGGTTCTTTTCATGGTTTCAATGGCAACTCATTTTGATTTTGAATAGCGAGTTCGATCTAAACATGGTTTGACTATAACAAGTCGTTGGGTTTTAACAACTAGACTTGGATTTTGTTCATCTTGATCATCATCCTGCAATGACTAAAGTAGTAAGTAAGAAGGGCAGAGTCGAATGGGCGGAGCCAAAGATTGTCAACTCTTCGCTCTTAAAGGAGCGAAACTAGTCTCAGGTCGGAAAGGGGGTGGAGGTTCAGGAGTGAGCTTGAGGGGCTCCCACCTAGAAGCGACCGTGAAGGGACATTTTATGACGGCCAATAAATCGAAAATGGCTTTTTAGTTAGCATCCTAGCTATTCATATGCACCTGAACTAGAAGCAATAAAATGTTGACTTATAACCTAA